ACACAAAATCCTATGCAACATTGTGGGAACGTCGCGATCAGATAAAAAAAAAGCATGATGGGGATGCAGAAAAGGAAATGTGCAATTTCCTTAAATGATCAAACTGACCTGGAGCTCTCAAATGAATTGAAAGTGTTTTATAATTGTTTTAATGTGCAGGACTTTAGTGAGGATGTGTCTGGTTTTAAAGATCCTATTTCTACTTGTGTACAAAATGATTTTAGCATCGATGAAGACAGTGTCTTAAAGCTCTTTCAAAGGGTCAAAGTAAATAAAAGTCCTGAACCTGATGGTATTGGTGGGACGTGTTCTTAGGAACTGGGCCTCTCAACTTGCAGATGTTTTCTGTTTCATTTTCCAGATGTCCTTAAAATTACAGAAGGTTCCTGCCCTGTGGAAATATCCAATAATTGTACCAGTCCCAAAATCAAATGTTTCAAAGTCACTTAATGATTTTCGACCAGTGACTTTGACATCCCTTGTTATGAAGGTATTTGAGAAAAAGTTAAAGGTGAGATTGTTGGACATGGTGAAGAACAAACTGGACCCTTTTCAGTTTGCTTATAGGTCAAACAGAGGGGTAGGGGATGCGACTGGGACTCTTCTTAATTTGGTTTTTAAACATGTTGAGAGTACTACACCTCTGGTTAGGCTGCTCTTTATTGATTTTTCTTCAGCTTTTAACTGTATCCAACCCCATGTCTTAGCACACAAGTTAGCTAAAATTTTTTTAACATTGACTGTAGGTTTATTGCTTTGCTAATGGATTTCTTAACAAAGAGGAGACAATGAGTCAGAGTGATGGTGTTTTATCTGACCCCCTGTTCTCTTCTACAGGGTCCCCTCTGTGTCCTCTCACCATTGTTTTTTGTTTTATATACCAATGACTGCCAGAGCCATCATAGTGGACACCACATTATTAAATTTGCTGATGTCATTGTGTCACTTCTCAGCAGAGAAATCCCTGAGCATGGCCCAGTTGTCAATGGTTTCTTAAACTGGTGCCAAGAATCTTTTTTAAGTATTAATGTGACAAAAACAAAGGAAATTTGCATAGACTTTGGGAGGATTACCACACCAATCTCCTCAGTGGTAATTAATGATCAAACAGTGGAGCTGGTGCCGCAGTACAAATACTTGGGGGTAGTTATTGATGAAAAGTTGAGTTTTGAGTCACAGGTGGATTGTGTGGTAAAAAAAAAGGGCACACCAGCAGATGCATTTTTTTCGCAAGCTTTGCTCTTTTAATGTCAGTCCTGTTTTTATGAAGATGTTTTATTCTGCTTCCATCGAATCTGTTCTTACTTTTGCTTTTATTTGTTGGTACGGGTCACTTTCTATCAAATGTAAGAATTGCTTGCATAATACAGTATTGTCAAGATTTGTTGTAAAATTGCTGGCATGTCTCTAAATGATCTGAGTGAGGTCTATAATATAGTAAAGTGGTATTAATTTATATTTTCCGATCTTCCAAGGTGCCAATTATGGAACTCTCTGTGCATTGC